ATTCAAACATCGAAAGATAAAAGGAAGAAAAAGTATATCATATAAACGAGGCAAGTCGAGTGGATTTGAATTTGTTGCCAGTGTTAATGACGACAAAGATGAATCGAGTGGATTGATGTTGGTTGTAATTGTTAATGATGACAATGATCTTGTAATGGTTTTTGCGTTACTTAAAATAAAGAAGAATATTTTTTAATAGTTAAAATATACTATTATATGAAGGATCCGCTGATTTAATGAATATCGACTTTTCTAGGTTTTAACCGCTTTGACTTAAATTTAGAATATATTTAGAGGAAAAGCTGAGTCAAAAGAGATACATACGCTACACCATCATTATTCTTTCCTTTATTGACATTTTTTTGAATTGATTTATTGGAATCGATATCGTTTGAGTCATCTGATTCATCTGAACTATCTGTATCGACATTCGTTGTAGTATCTGAATCAGAATCAGTGTTGCTTGTATTTGTAAGAGTGACACTTGAATGAATAGCATCATCGGGTTTCAGAATTTTGACTAGAGCTGGAGGCATAATAACATTTTCCTTGTGAAATGCACGACATAAGGCGTTGTAACAAATGTCAAAATTGCTCATTTTATATTGAAATTCTATAGCAAAAAAAGTAAACGCTTTAGAATTATATTACTGGTCTAATTATGTTACTTGTAATCGTTATGTAGTTCAGTTTTAAAGAAAAGATGAAGATAGTGATACATATTTTAGCTCTTGTATCAAGAATAAAAAAGTTTTAACAAATGAAATATGATCAGAAATGAACAACAAGTAGAAAAATAATAAAAAAAAAACTGTATGTTCAATAGAAAAAAATTAATACGCACCAGGTATATATGAATCATCTAATGAGCTGTCATCATTAACACCAAGACTCATACGATCACCTTGTTCTGAATCAAGTGTTTCTTTAGTTAATTTTGTTTTTTCTTGTTTTGTTCTTTTTTGTTTATGTTCGTAATATACACGACGTTCATCAAGTCTTTTTAGTACAACTTTTGTGCAAAAACCACAACCACCACCTAAAAAAGAGACAATGTTGTATTTTAGACCAAATCTATACACACTATTACCTGTTAATTCAGCTATAACTGGTAAAATTGATTGATCACCATCATTAAATGATAATACAGCAATTGCTGCACATAGATCAATGACTACACCAGTAGCATATCGAGTCTTTGGTGCTAAATTCCATAAAACGGCATGGAAGCTTTCATTGCTGTTTTGAGATCCACCATTGATCACTTTCTTTAGAGTATCAGCTAAATAATAAATAATCTTGAGTTGATATTTAATGTTTCAAAGAACTTACGGTGAGCTAATTCATCAAACACTGGTCGAATTGCTTTCATAATGCCTAATGATAAACTATGCTTATTATGATCATATTCTTCACCTAATAACATAGAATAAAATTTCAAAAAGTATCTATTTTTTTACCTTTTCCTAGAGATTTTAAATATCCGCAATATTTTATTTAACACCACTCATGATGTGGCTCTTCATTCGAGGAAGCCTATGATAAAATTTTTTTAAATAAAATCCTGCTTATTTCACATACTTTGTGTTTCCATATTGCCCAAACTGAACGAATCATTTCGTCTATATTTGTTTTATTTCGCACAATAGCTTGTCGGCAATATTGTTTGAAATTAATCATCATTTCTAGAAGAAAAAGAGCAATTAGGTAGAGCAGAAGGAGAATTTACTAACGATTTGTCATTCGGCCTTTTCCACCAATACCAAGTTTTCCATCAATTTTTGTTTTTTTCAAATCTTCTGCTATCTTTTGTAAACGATGTAACATTTTTTTCGCGAAATGATTAACGTCTTCTATTTTTTTGATTGATACATTTTCATATGGAGGTTTGCTAGTTAATTTTGGAAAAACTTTAGAATCCCCGTCTCCTACATAACTACAACGAAATAAATTAAGAGAAATGAAATTATATAGTTTTATTTACTTTATGTATTGAACGTTGTACATTCTCTCAGATCGTGAAAATAAACGATATATTCCATCTGCTTCCATAGAACCTAAAAAGCATATAGTTAAAATAGAAATTGCTGAATGAAATAGTACTTGATGAACCTGAATGATTTATTTCACATTTATGTTTATTTTTAATTTCTTCATATTTTGTTGGATTTGAATGTTTGATACTAAGTGCACCTGTACAAATTGAACAACTTTTTGATAATCTCTCCAAATCCAAAACCTATAAAATTTAAGTGATAATATGTAGAAATATTTTTGTCTGATACGTACTTTTGTACTGGAACCAGTTGACATTACTTCAACAACTCCATGTAAACTAGAAAAGCCGCGTTTTTGCCAGGTCCCGTCTCTGCTTACAGTAAGTTCACGTTTATTTGATTCACTACATGCTTCTTCTATAGCATTTTTCATTGAATTGAGTTTGTGTGATTCAAATACCGGAAGTATATGTGTAATAGTACGAGAAAAATGATCATCATCTATAGGAGGTGGTACGTTCAAAACACCACAAAGTTTTACAAGACCTTGATGACTTATTCCGGCAAAATTTGCACCTAAATAACAGATTCATTTTTGCGCTACAATGCTACTAAAATTAACTTACCAATTGCACTTCGAATATTAATATCTCGTTGAGAAGTTTTTGGACATTGTTTAGATGTATTGATTTTAATTTCGTTCGAGCAATGACATGTAAACACCAGAGAACAATATAATCCTAAAATATATATGTAATTATTAAGTTTTACGAGAAAGAAGACAATATAAACAGTACCTTCCCTTTTTGCAACAGACATATCACCATTCCATGTTGATTTACATGAGATACAAATAGTTTGTTTCATTAATTCTAACAAAAACGAGTTGTGAATTATCTGATAATAATCATTTGTATCTTCAGCAACATCTGTATTTTGTTGTTCAAGAAAATTTGACAATTTTTGATATGATGGACCAGCAAATGGACGTTTTTTATACGTGAAATGTTCATTACCAGTTGGTTGATCTATGTCAGAAATAAGATCATTTTGTAGTTTACGTGTCTTTTTTGCAACACTGTTAGCGATTCTTCGCGATGCGGAAATGTTTTGAACCAGGTGCAGCTTTCTTTGCTTTTTCACGTTCGAAGGACCTGGCATTCCAGACAGTATTAGTGTAGAATAATTAAAAAATCTAGAAAATAAGAAGTGATAATGCCTTGTTGCTGAGAAAACATGAGTTACATTAATTATAATTCGGTTGTAGCGTCTTACTAATTTTTACCCAAAAACTTTCAGATTTTTTTATTCATTCAAAAAATGATGTGAATCATCATGTTCGGAATATAGTGTGGTATGCGGTCCACGGAAGTGAGCCAAACATGTGAACCAAAGACCATAGGCTCACTTCATATAGAAGTTATAAGCCAATCAGATGAAAAGTC